CCTGGAGGAGTCGTCTCAATTCCATCCGTAACAGCTTCCTGGGCTCCCCTCGCTTTCACCGGCGCAAGATGCAGGGTACGGGGGTCCATGGGGACGCAAGGGGCTGGGAAATAGACTCCTGGGTTCTAATGGAGGAAGGCATCTAGGAGCTAAAATCTGGGATCCCGGCGCAAGGGGAAGGGTCCCCGACTCTCCCATCCTGGGATAAGATGGGGTGGTGAGCAGAGACGCAGGTGTTGGGTAGAGACTAAGCAGTCTCTAAAGGACACACCCATTCAGATTTTGGCTCACCTGCTTTATTGGCTCATAACAACCAAGCACCACCCCTCAGAGGGCGTGGCATAATGGACGGGTTACATCCCTATGGCTGCTTGCTCTTTGGGGTTAAGCTCCTGGGTTGGGTGAATAGACTGGGTCTGGACCTCCTGGTCGATGCGACTACTGACCTGTGTGCTGCTGCTAAGAATGATGGACTAGTGCTGACCACACTCTCCCCTCCCCAGTCCCCACCGCCGAGGAGATGTCCAGCTTGACACCAGAGTCTTCGCCAGAGTAAGTGCCACAGGAAAAGGAAGAGAAAGGATGGAGAGAGGTTTTCGTTCTCTTAGCCCCCTCCTGAGCCTTCTCCCCAACCATTCCCTCCTACTCAGGCTGGCAAAACGCTCCTGGTTTGGGAACTTCATCTCCCTGGACAAAGAAGAACAAATATTCCTCGTGCTAAAGGACAAACCGCTCAGTAGTATCAAAGCGGACATCGTCCATGCCTTCCTGTCGGTAAGGGGCCTGGGTCCGCACGCCCCCTGGCCACCACGGAAACACAGTTCACAGAAGCCCCTGGGATTCACCACCTTGGCACGAGTCTGACTTCCTCTCGGGGTTCTTGGGATTAGTAGTTTTCCAGCCAGAGTTTGGGTTTGGTCATTACAACGGCAGGGAAGCAGGAGAGGTTTTCTGTGCCTTGGGGCCTGGAAGTGGTGAAAAAGGATCTTGAGTTACAGTTCCCCACATACTAGTGTCCTCTGAGAACTGGTGACGTGACACCTCCCTACCATTACTTTGGGAATCAGTTGCTCATCCTTTTATCCTGTACAACCTGTTCATAGTAGGATGGGGAACTACAAATCCCAGTGGGTAATGGGGCATTCTGCCTTGCCTTATACTTTGGCCCCAGTGGCTGATGGGACTTGTAGTTCATTGGGCAAAAGCAGCTGTAGGGTTGACTATCCATTTCCACAGTGACCTGCTGCTAGGTCACCGGAGTCACCCCCTCTTTCTGTTCCCTGCCTCTCTCAGATCCCCAGCCTGAGTCACAGTGTGCTGTCACAGACCAGCTTCAGGGCCGAGTACAAGGCCAGTGGCGGCCCCTCCGTCTTCCAGAAGCCTGTCCGTTTCCAGGTGGACATTAGCTCCTCTGAAGGGCCAGAGCCCTCCCCGCGACGGGATGGCGGCGGCGGCAGCGGAGGCATCTACTCTGTCACCTTTACTCTCATCTCTGGTAAGTTTCCTGGACTAGACTGGCCCCCAGCCCGGTGTTTAGGACGCTCACAATGGCTGAAATTGGATCACAGCCCAGCAGCGCAGCGTGAAGGAAGAGAGAGTGCTCAGCTGGGCTTGACCCTATGAGCTCCCTCCTCACTCAGACCTCCCACATCTACTCCTTCCCCCTTTCTCATCCACATTTAACCTCATAACATAGTGTTTACAACGTGCCTAGTGCTTTCTTCCCACTATTTGGTGCGTTAGCAATCCCCCTCTGGAGAGGAAAACTGGGCTCTAAAGAGGTAAATGAATGCTGTCACACTGCACACGGTGACAGAGATGGGCTCTGCGTAGGCCTCCTGACCTCGCAGTGCAGAGCTCTTCCTCCAACTTTAAGATTGTACATAAGAAGAGCAAAGACTGGGGGCTACTCCCTGGTCTTTGGGGAGTAGCCATTCCTACCTCCCCTTCCTGTACCCAGAGCAGACATCACCAATCAATCACAGCACTTCCTGCATGCTCAGCCACCCTCTCAAACTCGAAGCAGCCTCGACCAATCAAGAGTTGGCACAAGAGATGAGAACCACAGAAATGCGTTGTTACCGATTTTACTTAGCTTTTGAGTTCTGATAACAACAGTTTGTAGGAGGAGGGATACTTTCTGTTTGCTGTCCTTGTCACCAGTCTCATTATGTCACAACTGGGAGTTGCTCCTATAATTTCTAAGCCAGGCTGTAGTGGGACATGGCGGTGTTACATCACCAAAGGAAATTATGGCTCTTGCTTTTTTTCCTGAGAGACTAATAGGCAGAAGGCTCTTAATTGTAAGGTCTTTTTTCCCCTTCCATTATTTTTTCTTACATTTCTGGCTCTTCAGGGCCTCCACTAGAAACTAACAAGTAACAGAACCTATTTAAATAGAAAACGACACCCATCGTAATTGTAAGTCCAACATATCTTAGCTCTATTTGCAAACTGTGGATTGATGTGTGGTCCCAACAGAGGTGGGGACATTGAGACCATTGGAGAGTCCTTTGCTACTTGGAGGGACTGGGTTCCACAGGGCGGGAGGTCCTTCCCCGTCCTTGTCAGTCCCCAAGTCCTTTTGTTTCCCTGCCCCTTCCAGGTCCCAGCCGCAGATTCAAGCGCGTGGTGGAGACCATCCAGGCACAGCTACTGAGCACTCACGACCAGCCCTCCGTGCAGGCCCTGGCAGGTGGGAGGCGGGGCGTGCTGGGGGCGGGGCTGTCTAGCCTTCTATCCTGTGGGGTGGAGGGGAGACTTCCTAGCGACCAAGTGCTGCAGCGTTTGGTTTGCAGGTGAGGCCGTAGCTGTGGGGAAGCAAGGCCCACCTGTTGCTGCATTGAGGCTTCACCTGCAGAGCTGAGAGCAGATTCTGGGGAAGCTGGGGCCCTTTCTTACCCTGCTGGGCTGCCTGTCAGGGATGCAGCCTCGCCTGGGAGCGCGTCCTCTGTGCTTCAGGGATGGGGCTTCCTGGTACTAGCCTCGTTGTCAGGGAGCAGGATTCCCTAGCAACCAGGGAGAACCTGAACTCCTAAGCAAAAGGAGTCCGGCTCAGCCCCACTGCTGAGATATGGTGGGAAATAGAATGAATCTGTTTCATTCGCCCAGAGCAGGCAAATAGGACCAAGCCAGGAGGGCAGCAGCCTGGGTGGCCTTGTCCCCGGAGAAGGCCTGCTCCCAGGGTCAAATCTGCTTGGGAGCAGTGAGGCCCTGCTCCAGACTTGGGGCCTATTCCACCAAGGTCAGAAATGACAGGGCTAATATCCAGGTGTCGCTCCCTCCTGGAGGCTGGGGCATGGGCGTGTCTGGTTCTGCCTTCCCAGAGGTCACAGGCCCACATTCCTTTGCTTATCTCCAATCGTCACAGCTGGCCACCCGGCGCCTCCTTGAAGGTCACTTCTCCTTCTGACTCCTGACCTCACCTGGAAAGGGTTCTTTTAGGGACCCACCCAGATAACCCTGCTCCATGCGTCTCCCCCTGGGGCAACCAGAATTCAAGTTTGGTCCCCTGAACTTTTCTAGACCCAGTTGCCAAAGAAAGCTGGCCTTAGCAGCCAGGGCTCCCAAAAGGGCACACCCTGGAAGATGAAGGAAGAACAGGCACCTGGGGCCTTAGCCACAGGTCTTACAAAGGGGCAGGGGGCAAGAGGCAGCCTCCAGTTCTGTGTAACAAGGGGAGGGGAGAGCGGAGAGCTATGCAGTATTGGTTGCTAAGAAACAAGGACTCTAGCAATCAGTGACTCTTAAGGGGGCCAGTCCCTGCTAAGGGACCTCAGGGACTGTTCCGGGCCCTATGGAGATTGCTAGATAAACACTGCACCTGCAGTCCCCTAGTTTGGGGAAGTGTGGCCCCACACAGAGATGACTCAGGGCAGGCAGGCCCGGCTGGGAGGGCCTGAGACCCCACCCCCACAAACAACCTGTGGTAGGCAGTCCTGGCCCCATGGCCAAGGGGTAGCCCCTGAGCCACCAGGGTAGTGGAAGGGAAGGAGGGACCCTCTCTGGCTATGACACAAGCTGTCCCTTAGCAAACAGTGTCATAACCAGAGTCTCTGGGAATGTCTCCTGAAGACGTAGACCAGGTTTGACTCTGACCAACCTGGCCTGGTTTCCAGAGCCACAGGGGCTGGAGTGGGCTGGGATGTGTGACCTGTGCTAAGACTTCCAGGCCTGGCAACTGTGTTGGGGGCTGGGGGCCTCAGCATGCTGCAGGAGTAAGTTCCCTGGGGCTTGGCCGCCTTGGGGTCACTGGGGCCACTGGATGGCGAGACCCTCCACACCGTCTCCGTGGCCCCGGAGCCCATGCCAGACCTTCCCTCCTGACAGACGAGAAGAACGGGGCCCAGACCCGGACGGCCGGCACCCCACCCCGAAGCCTGCAGCCCCCACCCGGCCGCCCAGACCCAGAGCTGACCGGCTCTCCCCGCCGAGGCCCCCCCAAGGACAAGAAGCTCCTGGCTACCAATGGGACCCCTCTGCCCTGACCCCAGGGGGCCAGGGAAGGAGGGGAGCCCCCTCCACCCCCCTTTCCTGCCCCCCAACTGTGAATCTGTAAATAGGGCCCAAGGATAACATAGGGAGGGGGAGACACAATAAACCTAGCCTCGCCCTGCAGGGATGGGGCTCGAGGGGCCGTGCCCAGTGGGGTTGGGGGGGGTGGTTCTAAGGGGGACTGGGGGTGGGAGCTCTTTCTATTTTATTTATTGATTAATTTATTATTTTATTTATTGATCAATCTCTCTGCGGGATGGGGTGGGGGAGGGACGGGGTCTGGTTGGGGTGGCTTAGCAGATCCGGACGGACAGGGCCATCTGTCCTTGTATCATCCCCAGCCCCCCCTTCCTGGGCCCCCCTCCCCTGGTCCTCCCCCTCCCCCCACGACCTTCTGTACGGATTTGCTCTCCGGAAGGAATTCTGGTTTCGCGTGATCCTGCCTGCGTCCTTGTCTCTGATTCCGCCAGCGGCAAAAAAAACAAAAACAAAAACAAACCACCAAATAACAACAAAAAAACAAACATTAATAATAACAATAATAAATAGCCTTGAACAGGGATGGCTGGCTGGCCTTGGCCTCTCGCTTCCTGGGTGGCCCTGAGTGCAGGGGCGGGGCCAGACGGCAGGGGCGCAAGGACATAAAGATGCCAGTGGACCAGTTTGCAGCCCCGCCACACTGTGCACTAGGTTCCAGGCGGGGCAGAGACAGCACGTTCTTCTGCGACAGTTCATCCCCGAAGGTCCATCCCCATCTTGGGGAGGCGTGGAGGGGTCCAGGGGGTTGGCTTCTTTTCCCTCTGCTCGCGAGGGCACGGCCTGGGTCACGACTGGGCCCTGGGGGAGGCCGGCGCCAGGCTGAGGCTGGAGCGCTGGTGGAGGCACAGGGTGCAGCTGCGCAGCTCGGAGAAGTCCACAGCCAACAGGCCGAAGAGTGCGAAGAGCAGCATGGCGACGGCCCACTCGCAGACGGCCGCGGCGGAGCGCCGGAAGCTGGTGTGGAGGATGACCACTGGACGCCAAGGTCAAGGGCGCACCACCATGGCAAGGATCTGGAGCCCACTATGTGCCCTATGGGTGGGCTTGTCTGGGGGCCCTCCTGGGATATGCCCTGACTGGCATAACTTCTAAATCGGGTCACCCTACCTTGATGGCTCCCGGACACTGTCAAAGGGATGCCCTCTAATCCTGTCTGTATCTCAGTTTCCCCAACAATTTCCCCTGCATGTCCCTCCTGTTCCTGTGGCGTTTCTGACAACCTGGAACATGGTTCTTATCCTCCCATCAGCCTCCCCGGACCTTGTGAAGGCTCTGCCATGTCCCCACTGGCCCAGGCCTGACAACCAGGCACCTTGCTTCTGCCACCTAATGCAACACTCAGGGGTTCCTGAAAATATACTCTGCCCTCTTGCTCTGGCTGGTGTGACTCAGTGGATTGAGCACCAACCTGAGAACCAAAAAGTCACCGGTTCAATTCCCAGTCAGGGCACATGCCTGGGTTGCAGGCCAGGTCCCCAATAGGGGGCACATGAGAGGCAACCACACCTTGATGTTTCTCTCCCTCTTTCTCCCTCCCCTCTGTCTAAAACTGAATAAATAAAATCTTTTTTTTTTTTTTTGAGAAAAGGGATTTGGAGGCAGTCCCTAAGTCCATGGGGCCATCCCTGGACTGGCCTTGTTGCCCCCCTGCTCATGAGCTTTCCACAGTTCCCTATTGCCCCAAGGCCCAAGCCCAAACCTCTAACCTCTCACCTTCGTGCCAGAGATCATCTGGGGGCCTGCCAGGAACCTCCTCCCTCAAGCTGATTATTGCAACCTTTGCATGCACACACCTCCGGCATCCTCAAACCTTCCCATCTAAGTCCAAAACAGCTGATTCTGCAAGACCAACTCAGAGCCCAATCTTTGTGCCATCTTTATGGTCCACCCCCCCTCCCCTGTGGCGAAGGGACATTTGAGTCCCACATAATGAGGACTCTGCAAATTATCAGCCCCGAAGGGACTTTAGAAGGGGATGGGCTGGATCTCATCACCAACAGGGCCCAGCCCTTCCCACCTACTCCATGTCAATCGGGTTGCTGCTCTGGAAAACAAACCAAGGCCACCTGACGCAGCCAGCACAGGACGTCCGCTTGGTTTCCTCCAGCCCCAGGAATGCCAGTGTCCTCTCAGCCTCCCTTCCATCCGCCTCCCCACGGAGGCTGGCAGTCCCCAAGTCCAAGTCTGCAGCCCTTCCTCTCTCCCAGGGCCCTGGACCTAGCAGTGACAACCATCAATATGAAGAAAAGCAACTCCATTTTCCAGACATGGAAACTGAGGCTGGGTCGTGGGGTGACTCAGAACCAAGTGCCACCCAGCGGTGTACTGACAAATGTTTCACAACCAGCTTTGTCACTTCTGGTGATGTAATTACTCCCGCCACGCCCATTTCGAGCTACAAATCGCTCCACGTGGAGGTGAGAAGAGATACACACAGACAGCCCTGAGGGCCCATGAGACGGGTCTGAAGCCCACCCCTAGCCCCGCCATTGAACTCCATGGTGGGTGGGTCTAGGCCAAGAGACCAGCCCTGCCTGAACCTCCGTTTCCAGCCTTAGCCAGCATGATGCCCGGCACAGAGCGGGCACCCGCAGCGATTGGTTCAGCATCCTCCCGATGCATACCGATCCCTCACTACGTGCCAGGCACCCATCTGAGCACCTCACATGTATTATCTGAATTCCTCACAACCCCAGGTTAGCTCCGTTATTACCTGCATTTGACAGACGAGGGATCTGAGACAACAAGAAGTTTAAAAAACAAAACAAAACTGAAACCCTGGCTGGTGTGCCTCAGTGGACTGAGCACTAGCCTATGAACCAACAGGTCGCCGGTTCAATCCCCAGTCAGGGCACAGGCCTGGATTGCAGGCCAGGTCCCCAGTGGGGGGGGCATGCAAGAGGCAACCACACATTGATGTTTCTCTCCCTCTCTTCCCCTCTGTAAAAATAAATAAATAAAATATATTTTTAAAGGGGGAGCTTCCCCCAGCTATTATGTGGATAAGGTGGGATTCCAACCCAGGCAGCATGGTACCGGGTTGGCGCTCTCTAATGACTCAGAAGGAGGCCAAGAAAGGGGGGAGGGGCATTCACACTAGCACAGAGCTACGAGCCCAGTGAAGAACCGCTCCCACCTCTGCCCGCGGAAGGATACTGGTCACCATGAGGACGGTGCAGAGGCTGCAGAGGGCCAAGCGGAGTGGCCTGATCCAAGGGGTCCCGGGTTGGGGCAGGCTCTTCTTCATCTTCCAGGAGAGAAGCAGCTGCAGCCAGAAGTAGATGTGGCCCACGAAGAAGGCAAAGAAGGCCCCTGTCAGGTGCGTGGCCTGCTGGTTCGTTTGCTGGAAGGAGGAGTGGGGAGAAGTGAGGGGAAGACCTGTGGGGAGGCCGGGATCAGGAGGGGAGGACGGGCCGCTGACCAACCCCATGGACAGTAACTGACAACTACCATGCCCAGGCATCGGTTCATTGATCACACGTGTTGGCTGTCGTCAGCTCTGTGAGGGCGGACATTTAAATCTGTTGTCCACTGTTGGGGCCTCAGTCCCTAACACAGTGCCTGACACAGGGCAGATGCTCACAAATACTGGTGCAATAAATCTTCTATTCTCATCCCAGGTGTGGGAGAGCAGATTTTGTTGCCAAGGGGATAAAAACTGATTTTCGAATAACGAAAGATTTTAAAATAACACAGTGATTTGTGGCTTACTGGTATAGTATATATGCTAGGGTAATGTTTTATTTTATTTTTGTAATATTTTTAAATATTAAAAATTTCAGCCCTGCCCCGGCTGGTGTGGCTCAGTAGATTGAGTGCTGGCCTATGAACCAAACGGTCACGGGTTCAATTCCCAGTCCGGGCACATGTCTGGGTTGTGGGCCAGGTCCCCAGTAGAAAGCACTGGAGAGGCAACCACGCACCGATGTTTCTCTCCCTCTCTTTCTCCCTCCCTTCCCCTCTGTCTAAAAATAAAATATATAAAATCTTTAAAAAAATTATTTTTCAGTCCTGGCCAGGCAGCTCAGCAGTTATAGCAGCATCCTAATTTGCCAAGTTTGCGGGTTCGATGCCCAGTCAGAGCATGTACAAGAAACAACCAATGAATGCATGAAGAAGTGAAAAAACAAATCAATGTCTCTCTTTCTCTCTCTCCTTTTTTCTCTCCCTAAAAATCAATATGTTAAATAATGAATTAAACATTTCTCCTCGAGAGGGATGTCATGAAGAAAAAGAAAGGTTGACTACAGGGATAAGGGAACAAGTGAATAAATGGATATGCAGACGTGATAGGGGATGTTTGCTGGCAAGTTGGAGGCAGCTTTTGGTCTGAATACCCTGTGGTTCTGCCTGCCTCCATTCTTTCACCAGGAGAGGTTTGGAATCAGAGACGTCATTGTGAAATGAAATGACATAAAATAAATCAGGGAGATTTATCCTATCACACGGGCATTTATTTATTCTGCAAAGATCTACTGAGCTTCATGGTTAAGAATGTGGGTTCTAGCCCTGCCTGGTGTGCTCAGTGGATTGAGCGCGGGCCTGCAAACCAGATGATCGCGGTTGGACTCCCAGTCAGGGCACATGCCTGGGTTGCAGGCCAGTTCCCAGCAGGGGGCAGGGGACACATGAGAGGCAACCATACATTGATATTTCTCTTCCTCTCTACTTCCCTTCCCCTCTAAAGATAAATAAATAAAAATTTTATTAAAAACTCTTAAAAAAAAAAAAAGCGTGAGTTCTGGAGTCTGTGAATCTGAGCTTGTATCGGACCACCACAGATCAGCTGATGAAAATACCTCTCTGTGGGAAGGGCCTTCCAAGAGTTTTGTCCAGATGAATAAAAATAGGGCAGAACGTAAAACCTACTGCAAACTCAATCCGTCTGGCATACTTAAAAATGTATGAAATCTGACTCATATTAAAGGCGTGGAGGATGATGAGGAACTGTCCAACTTCCTAGTGTCCAATTGCCCTTTCTACCAACAGGGAAGAAAACAAAAATACATTCCTCCTGCCTGGGGCGGGAAAGAGTCTCCCCCACGGCGTTCCCTTCACACTCTAAGACCTCACCCCGCACCCCTATCGGTGGAGAGCCACAAAGAAATACAAGTCCCAGGAGGCTATTCAGGGTCCAGCCTTCGAAACCAGTAGCCAGCGGCCCCGAAGGATCCTGGGAATTGTAGTCCTAGACTCCGGGGAAGGGGGGGGTTAGAGAACCCGGGCTGGGTTCCCGGAGCCCACTCAGTCTCACCTGGAAATTGGCCACCACGGAGGTGCCCAGGGCACAGAGGAGCCCCGACCACAGGATCACCTGGTTAAGCCACTTTTTGACGCCCCAGTCCCGGAGCTGGTGGTAACGGAGAATGCAGATCCAGGCAGCTGGGAGGAGGGGAAAATGAGTGGGAGATCCGGGCTGAACCCTGGTAGGGGAGAGGTGGTGGGGTGGGGACAGACTGGGCATCCAGGGGAGGAGGACAAATGCAGGACTTAGGGGAGAAGGGGCCGGAGCCTGGGCTCCTGGGTCTGAGTGGGGTGGGGGTGAGGGGCGCGCCCAGCCCTGAAGGGGCAAGTCTGGGGCAAATTTACCCATAGCGGCTCCCATGTTTAGCAGCTGGCTGAAGATGCAGCTCTGAGGCGGGTACGATCCACAGAGACTAGGGAAGATAAGGGGTCATCCTGTGACTCCATTGCGCCAGCACCCCCTTTCCTGTCTCTGGAGCCCCCCCTCCAAACGCCCTCACTACCTGATATAGGGGATGCCTTCCGTAAGGTTCACAGTCCTGTTGGTCACGGCAATCGCAAAGCTGAAGGAGGGGAAGACATTGAATAAGCAGCGGCTTTCAAGAGAACTTTTCTGTTTGTTACTCATAGAAACCAAACTGCTACCTCCCTTGGACCCACGAGTGCAGGCCTCCCGCCGCTGCCCCGCTCAGACCCTGGGGTCCAGGCCCCCAGCCCCTCTCCCCCCGGGTCCTGGGTATCACCCTGCCTATAACACTCACACGGTCCAGACGCTAGCAGCAGCCCAGACGGCCAGGAAGACAGGTAGCAGGGAGAGGTAGCCCCACATGCCGGGCTCTGCGCAGGAAGCATAGGGCCACTAATCAATCAATCAATCGGTCAGTCAGTCAGTCTCTCTCTGTCAGGTGAGAAACCAGCCCTAAGGGTCCAGGTGCACCACATCTGGACTGCCTGCCTCCGAGGCCCCCATTGGCTCCAGGGCAGAAGTACGGGCCCATGGGGAGGCAGGGAGATGTGGTCTGATGAGGCCAGCAGCTCTCAGTCCGGGCCACTTCCCTATCTTTCAAATGTCCTGGAACCCTCATCTTGAAATTTCTCCCAGCTGCCCTCCCCTCACCCACCCAAGGGTCTCTCCATCGCCAGTTTCTGGGCTCCCCCAGGGTGCTCACCAGCTGGTTTTGAACCCTCTTAGTCCCAGGACTGGGGTGACGGAATCTGTGTGAGAGGTTCAGAGATGAAGCACTGGGAGATGGGGTGGGGTTTGGGCGGGCAAAAGCTTTTCGAAGAGCCAAAGTCCACCACCTGCAGAACAGTCAGCAGCAACCGTCTGACTACCACTTTATAGGAACCTCACCCCCGAACTGCCACTTCCTGGTCTGCTCCGAACCAGGCAGCACCTTAGTTCATGGGTCCCCGACTTCCTTCCTCTCACTTTGTAGGTTCAACGTGCTAACCCCCAGCACTTATCCTCCCAAGGACCCACAAATCAGAGCCTCCAGCTTTCTCCAGGTTTCCTCCTTGGGGGGGGACCCAGAAATCCACGCCCCCCCCCAGGCCCTTCTAGAACACACACATTCCTTGCTAGCCCCCAGATGTCGAAACTCCCAGCTCCTACCTCCTCACGTTCAGAATACAAGCCTGAAGGTCCACCTCCTTTCTGACTACACTTTCTGTTCAGGCTGCTGGGTGTGGGCCCCCCCCTCGACTCCGCCTCCTCCTACAACTTGCGGTCCCCTCACCCTGCTCTCCCTTCCTCTCTTTCTCAGACCTAGTGGGTCTGAGTTTAGGTCTGAATTCCCCAGCCAGCAGGGCAGGCGTGGGTGGGAGGGAGGGAGACCTTGGCGATGACATCTCTATCTGACAGCCTTCCCAGAAACCAACTGTTTCCTCCAGCAGAACCATTTGTGTTCTTTCCCGTGGCAGCCCTCGGCTTTCCGGGTCCCCGCCCTGGATGCTGGGGGGTTTCGGCCCCAGTCTCCACCTGCTTGCCCAGGACCCAGGAGCCAAGGTCCCCCGCCCCTCCTCCCTCAGACCCAGGGGGTCCAGGCCCCCAGCCCCTCCTCCCTCAGACCCAGGGGTCCAGGCCCCCAAGGGGTGTCTCCTCCCTCAGTACCCCACCTGTTTTTTTTTAATTGAAGCAACATTCACAAAATGTAAAGTTAACTACTTAATTTTAGCACATTCACAATGTCGTGTCTCTGCCACTCCGGTCTAATCCCAGAGCTTTTTCGTCTCCCCAGAAGGAAACCTGGCACCCATGAAACACTGTCCCTCCACATTGCTCCTGCTCCCGGCCCCTGACCACACCCCAGCTGCTCTCTGTGTCTATGGCTCTGTCCACGCTGGACATTTCACAGGAATGGGCTCATACGCTCTGGCCTTTTGCGTCTGGCTTCTCTTACTCAGCATCATGTTTCCGAGGTTCATCGGGTTGCAGCACACGTCAGTGCCCCGTCCCTTTTCAGGGCTGAGTAATATTCCATCAAACCCAGCTTTTTTGGGGACAGAGGCATCTGAGGCCCAGCTTCTCTTCCTCTGTGCAGCAGGATCTCCAGGGCTCCCTGTATCCAAGACTCTCAGCTTCCTTGAGAATAAAGATGAGGAAACAGAGAAACAGAGATAGACAGGCACTCTGCACGTTTCTGGGATCAGCCAAGAGTGAGATCTCGCCTCTGCCCTCAGTGGGTTCCCAGGTTCCAGGGCAGATGCCCTTGGATCCAACAGGGAGCTCCGACCAACATGGCGCAGGGCACGGTGGCACCCAGAAGAAGCGGCTAACAGGCAATGGTGGCCAGTGTGTATGTGGTTGTAAGGGAAGGTCAGGAAAAGATGTGCGTAGGTTTGCACGCTGCAGGAAGGCTTTCCGGGAAAGTCCAGGTGGTTTCTGAAACCTGGCCCATATGGGGCCAGTGCCTTTGTCTGCTGGGTTACGGAGTGTGGGACCCACTAGCAGAACTGAACCGGGACCCAAAGCTCTCAATCACCATGAAGAGCTACTGTAACAACACACCACAAACTTAGTGGCTTTAAAACAACATACATTGAGCCCCAGCTGGTGTTGCTCAGTGGATTGAGCACCAGCTGGGAACTAAAGGGTCGCTGGTCAGGGCACATGTCTGCGTTGCAGGCCAGGTCCCCAGTGAGGGGCGTGTGAGAGGAAACACACTGATGTTTCTGCCTCTCTCTCTCCCCTCCCCTCTCTCCAGAAATAAATGAAATCTTGAACAGAAAAAAATCTTTAAAAACAACACTTATTTGTCCGCTCACAGGGCTGGAGGTCACAGTCTGAAATGAGCCTTAGGGGCTGAAATGAAGCTGTCAGCTGGGCTGGTCCCTCCTGCAGGCTCCCTGGCCCTTTCCAGCTTCTAGATGCCCCTGTCCCTCGGTGTGCGTCCCCTCCCTCTGCAAGCCGAGTGTGTCCCTCAGGGCATCTGCCTCTGTAGGCACGACCCCTTCTCTGATCATAACCCCCTCTTGCAGTACTATGGACCCTACAATGAAATTGGACTCACCCAGATCATAGGGTCTTAACTGAATCACAGCTGCAAAGTCTCTTTTGCCACGTGAGATGCCATTGCCACAGGTCCTGGACATCGGGATGAGGATGTGTTTGGGGAACCGGTGTTCTGCCTCCCACAGTCCCCTTTGGTAGGAACCTTCGGCTCCTTGTATCTTTAAAGACAGAGCGTAGCCCTGGCCGGTGCGGCTCAGTTGTTTGGGCATCTTCCCACAAATCAAAAGGTCACTGGTTTGATTCCCAGTCAAGGCAGAGGAAGCCTGGGTTGTGGGCTGGGCTCCGCCCTGTTCAGGGCACTTGATGTCTCTCCCAAAACATTGATGCTTCTGTCCCTCTCTTCTTCCCTTCCCCTTCTCTGAAATACATTTTTAGAAGACAGAGCATAACGCCATGTGGGGTGGGGCCGACTGCCCGAGTTTGCCGCTCAGCCTCTGCCTCTCGCTGGCTGGCAGTGTGATCTGGGGCAAGCAGGTTGCTCTGCCTGTGCCTCAGTGTCCTCACCTGTGAAATGGGGACGATAAGAGTCACCGCCTAAGAGGGCTGTGGGGTGGAACAGAGGCGCCAATCTGTATAACATGCTCAGGACAGTGTCTGACACGTGTGTGTGCTTAAGAAGCAGCTATTGTTAGAGTGTGTTTATCTGGGAGTCAAGTTAAAAAAAAAAAAAGGGCACGGTCTGCCTTGTGCTTGTCTGGCACATAGTAATTGCTCAATACAGGACTCTTCCTTCCAAGGGGTGTTTTTTAGCAGCTGGTGATGGGGCAGGATCAAATCTCCTGGGTTTTGTCTCTGTGTGTGTCTGTGTGTGGACCGAAGACCCACTGTGTGCCAGCCTTGTTCTAGACCCTGAGACGTAGCAGGGAACAACCAGGCAAAAAGTGCCCAGGAGGAGTGAGGCTCTAGCAAGATCTCACCCCTCCCACCCCACCCCTCCACCCTCCCGTATCCTCCTCCCCCCACCCAGCCCCAACGCCAACTCTTCTCCTCCGGGGACCCCTCCTCTTGAGGGGCTCAGGCCTGATGGGCCCGGTTCAATTCGCAGACTGGGATCTACCCACTGTGCACCGGTTCCCACTGTCTACTGGGGGCCTGGGCTCTTTGGGATTCTTCCACATACCACTGGCCTGGCTCAGCCTCAGGGAAAGGGCTGTGGTCTTCCTCCGGGCGAGATGAAGTGGCAGTTCCGAGTTTAGGAAAGCGCTTCCTGTCGGGGGTGGGGACTGTTTTTTTCCCAGAGTGGGACTGTGTGTGGGCAGGGGATGTCCGCTGCTTCAGGGATCAAGGTTTTGCTATCTGCTGGTTCAACAGGGAGTCCAAGTGACGACTTACCCCCGTGACTGGCCTGTAGGAAATGCCATGTAAGGCGGGAATGGCCACCCTTGCGTCCTCCAGGTGATGCTGATTATGGCGAAAGAGACACCCTGAGGGTCTAGAGGCTGGGCTGCTCTACAGACTCAATGCCTGGACCTCCCAGTCTTGCTGTGCCATGGAGTCCTCCAGGAAGCACAAATGGCCACAGTGTCAGAAACGCAAAGAATTTCTTGGGAATGATGCCAGTGAGGGACAAAGGGGAGAGGAATGAGCAGCGAAAGCCTCATGGCTAGGTTGTCAGGCCGCCACCTATGAGAGGAGACGGGGAAGGAGCACCTGGGTGGGAAGAGCTTCAGCCCCGAGAATGCCCACCCGGCCCAACTGGCAGACGGAGGGAAGGTTTCCCACATAAACAAGTCCGTGGAAACAGAAAGTAGGTTGGTGGCTGCCAGGGGCTGGGGGATGTGGGCTGTGATTGCTTAATCACTTCCTCTGGGGAGACGAAAGAAAAAGTTTTAGAAGGAGATAGAGGTGATGGCAGTTGCACAACGGTGACTATACAGAAGGCCGCTGAGTTACACACCTTCAAAGGGTTGACCTGGTGCATTTTGTGTGATGTGAGTGTGGTCCCAGTTTTATTCTTTGCATTTTTATGTATTGATTTGAGAGAGAGAGAGAAAAAGAGTGAGAGAGAGAAACATCGATTTGTGGTTCCACTTTTAAAAAAAGATTTTATTTATCTTTAGAAGGGAAGGGAAGGAGAGATATATCAATGTATGGTTGCCTCTTGTGGGTTTCCTGCTGGGAACTGGCCTGCAACCCAGGCATGTGCCCTGACTGGGAATCAAACCGCAATCCTTTGGTTCACAGGCCCGTACCCAATCCACTGAGCTACACCAGCCAGGGCTGTGTGATTTTAAAATCTGGTGTTTTTCAACCTGCCCTGTTTCCTACTCCAATACCCATCCATATAGCCACCCATTCATCTTTCCACCCAACCATCCATTCTTCTGGGCATGTGCTCTTGCCTGTATGTATCTCATCCATCTGTCCACCCACCTCCCTCTCTATCCAGTCATCATTAATTGAGATCATCCTCCAGTTACCCAAGGCTCTTTCCATCCATTTAACCATTCTCTCATCCATCCACATTACTTCATTCTTTCATTCATTCTAATCAGTTCCCCCTTCCAACATACCCTACAATCCATTGGTCCAATCCACTTAATCAACCACCTGTATGAGCTTCCTTTAGCTGCTATAACAAACTCCCACAAATCTATTGGCTGAAAAACAACATAAATTTGTTTCCTTACAGTTCTGGCAACCAGGATTTCAATATCAGTTTTGCTGAAATCAGGAAGTGGGTGGGGCTGTGCTCCCTTTGGAGGCTGTAAAGGGGGGTCCTTCCTGCCTGTTCCAGCTGCTGGTAGCCCCCCGGCATGCCTTGGCTTGGGGCCACATCCCTCAGTTTCTCTTCATTCTCCTCTCTGTGGGTCTCTGTATCTAATCACCTTCTCCCTCCCTCCTGTAAGGCCTATGATGGTATTTAGGGCTGACTGGGGTAATCCAGGGTAAGGCCCTCCTCTCAAAGTCCTTACGTTAACCATATCTTTTGCCATACGAAGTAATATTCACAAGTCCCAGGGATTGGGAGGTGAGGTGTGAGGTATGTCTTTGAGGGTGATGATACTCTGCCTACCACATCATCCAACTTTACACACACACACACACACATCTCTCTCCCTCCCTCCCTCCCTCTGTGTGTG